TTTAGGATGCCATATAAATATTTTGTGTCACTTACCTATTTCGGCTCTTGAAGTTCACTTGGATTTGCTATAACAGTGGAATATATTACATTACGATATAGTCACCTGAAATTGTAAAAGAATGTGAGTTTTGAAAATTAAAGATGATATGTTTGCAGTTCCTATATTTGGACCTTTTTTGGCTTTTCACTGATATTGCAGACTGAAACTTTCTTTTGTTATCGCTCCTTAGTATTTATAGTACTCTCCATATAATGTTACTTCTTTGTAATCATTTTATTTGTATTAGACATATCCAGGCAGAGAGAAGAAGGAAGCAGCTAAGAAGAGCATGGCTTTATGTTTAATATTGAGGTTAAAACTGTTTTGATGGTAGTTTTCATTGGAAGTTTTCTGTTTGACTGTATAAAAACTAGGGGAGGTGATCACTTTAAATAATATTGACACCATAGATATGTTGGTAAAACTATATGTCCTGTGGTATCTATTTTTAGTGTTAAGCGATGATTTATAGGTGTAAAACTTTTAATAACTTTTCTGTCAATTGATGCAATTCATAGTGGAATGTGAAAGTATCTAAAAGTCATTAACTTTTCTGATGGATATAATGTTATTTCATAGTAATAGATTTGATATTTATTTATGTCTATTCATTTTCCTTTTGTAATACTCATCTTTAAAAAAAACTGTGTTGTTTGTATATCATGCCCCTTTACAATTTTGAATTTAAGAAAATGATCTTTTTAGATCTCTTACCTGTAAAAGAGAGTTTTGTTACGTGTAAAAATAAATCTCTCAGGTGTAAAAAAGAAATAAGGTCATAAAACTAAAAACAAGTTTGTAAAAGAGCCAAAAAAACCAATTGACCCTGAGTTCCTGTCGATGTTGGGCCCATGCTCAGCATGGGCATCCACTCTCTAGTTACTAATATTTAGAAGAGACAGTTGGGACATACGAATAGGGGACGAACAGGGGTACTATGGATATTATATTCACTTTAAAGGTTAAATTGGTCATTTGGGCCTATTGTCTTTCATGTGACGCGTGTAATGCAATTTATATGAGCAAACCACGTATATATGCACTTTAGATGGACAAATTTCACTGCTCAACTCTTAATTTTATGTTCTATCGCTCAAGTTCAGACATTGGAGTTCCGATTATGTGCTTCACTCCCTCAAAGTATCATCTGGTTGCTTTGATGAGTTTCTTTTGCCTTAAATGAATCCAAGCTGCTTGTTCTCTATTATTTGTTATGCTTTTGACTGTTTTCCTGCATTTATTTGCAACTACTGCTCTGCTCATTCTGGTAAAATCCGTTTGAATTTTTTCCCTCTTTCTCTTTTTTTTAAAAGGAAAACTTTGCACACACATGCATCTGTAGATGAGCTTTTTCCTTTTCAAATTTCTCAATTAGAGTTTGAAGTTGTCTCTGGTATGTGCTTTATTCTGTTCAATTTTGGTGAGGGTTTTCTCTATTCTTGCATTTCTTTTAATGCACCGATTATTGATAATAGGATTTTGGTAGGTATTTGAGAGTTTCTCTGCTCTTTTGGATAGTTTCCTATATTGTATCCAATTTGCACCCTTGACGCCCGAAAGGTTTTCGATAATATGTCTAAATCAACTATTCCCTTTTCCCCCTTTAATTTTGTTCTACAACTAAACACATTAGTAGACTCAATTTTCTGGGCTCATGCATGTCTAGAATAGCTCACAAAATTCCCTTCTGTATACAAAAAGAATAAGAATTTCCACCAATAAGAAGATCTATCATCTTTCTCTCCTCCCGCGCCCTTCTTCTCTTAAGTAAACACTTATCAACCTTTGTTTACTAATCTCTTGATATCCCATTTGGGTGTTCATTCCTGTAATTTTATTTCAGTTTTATCTGCGCATGTTATCACTAAGATAATTGAAATATCTAGAAGTTTGCATTTTTCTTCACTCTTGATAATTTTTTGGTTCCATTGCGAGGTCGTTTTCAAGCTCTGGGATAAGTGAATTGTCTTAGCTTTTACCTGAAGCGGAAAAGTTATCTTTCTAATCCGTTTATGGACGGTTGCATGGGATCGAAATGCATCTCTAGAAATCTTTTTTGTGATATACAATCTGCATTCTGCAGTTACATGCTTGTGATGTTAAATTGGGGTACATGTTGCATGTATCTCTATAGTAATCAGAATTTGGTTTGAAGAATGCGTCAAATTAGCTACATCTCACATATGTAAAAATTACTATTCAAGGTTTGCGCGAACCGTTCTGCCATGATTTTAACTTAAGTTTAAGTAGTTTATGTTATTACTGCAATTAGTAAATTGAGATTCAAAATACTATTCAAGGTTTGCACGACCCAAGACATCTCAGAAAATGAATGTGATCTTCGTTTTTGGTAAGAGCTCTGTCTAATAAAATGACCAGTGAGAATCGTTTGATAATGTATCTTGGTTTTGGAACTATGGAGTTTTTTGATAGCAATACTATTTTCCAATCAATAAACTACGGAGCCTGATAGCAAAAGCTTCTTGGACCTAGCACCTAGCTGTGACTTAATGTCCCTTGAGGCTTATTATTAGGTCTCACTCATGTTCTTGTAAGGAGCATTTTTAGTTGTACAAATAATCTAATGATGTATTTCATACCTTTATACAGGAGAACTGAAAATATTAGCCGCAACAGGGCCACTCCTTATGCTGACAACTATGTACTTCTACCTTTGAGGACTCCCTGTTGGCAAAATTTGGTTTTTCAGTCTGCTTATATGAGGAAAGCATTATTTGATTGAAATGAGATGAGACTGACGGATCTAGCTTTTTTACATATCATGGCGGTGGAAATGAAAATTACCGAAACTTAAGCAAAGTTTAATGCCTATTCTCCAAAACAATGGTAAATTTTTCCCGTTCTTTGATTTGGTTGCCTATTTTGTTTATTGCTTCTAGAATTATGTATTATAAAACATAGTTGTGGTGTGTCTAAAATATGACATTCTGAAAATTTTTACCAGCGAGTTTATGGAGAAAGCTCAAAAGCTTTATAAGTATCATAACTACAGAAATTTTGTCTAACACGACGTGTACAAATATACTTGCCATGACCTTTAGACAAGTGATTCTGCAACATCTTTGGAACTTTGAACATGTACTTTTTATACCGGTAGCAGAATGAAACAAGGATGATCATGAAGCACCAAGAGAGGTGGCTTTCCATTCATTATGCCCTTTTTTAATATCAAATTTATAATGTCTCCATTGCACGTACTAAGTGATTATCAATCAGTAAGGTCTTTTTTCATGTGCAGAGGAAGGCTGCAGATCAACTGATTTGGTGTTTTTCCTTTTAAGTACTGCCCATAGTTCTATATTTAATTTATCAAGCAATCTTAATTCTTAAGCCAAACTTGAAATATCATGCTTCTTGCCCGTGAAACTAAGCAGCGAACTATAATTTGATCATTTATTTAGTATTTCACAACTATATTATGAAGCGTCTTACATGAAACCTTCAAGAAACTGTGGTTGAAGTGACAGTATAATAAAGAAAGAAGAAGGAAGCTCAGTAAATTCAAGCAATCATATTACAATAAGTTGCTCTTTTTAATTGCCCAAATATATTATTGGAGTCATTTGGCCACTAAAATATTTTCTAATATTTGATAGCTATATTCTATCTCCGAACTCTCATGTAGATATAATTTCTTGCACCTACTTGGAAGTTGCTATGTCCTGTGTGTCAGTTGCACAACCAAAATGGAAGAGTTTGGTACTCCTCTAACTGCTGGTTTGCGGGTGACAAAAATTTATTATTCAAAAGAGATATACTTTCTATATTTCTTACATTAAAGCTTTTTGAAACTTGAATATGTAGTTAATGTTAAGGGGTTAATAGGAAACGAGGCATTATTCTTTGTCAAATAACTAATAATATACCACCAGTTTGTGAACTTTGCCAATATATAAAAAAAAAAAAAATTTAAATGCGATTTCTAAAGTTATGTAAATGTCTGTGAAGTTCATATTTTTGTGGAGGCCATGTATATACATACACATTTTTTTGCATTGATTTTGTATATTTATGAGTGATTCTTTTGCTGGTATGATGCAAAAGATGGCCAATCTTTCTCAAAGGAGATTGTATAATCTATCATCTGTTGGTGCGATAAGCTCTCTTCTTGAATGTTCTTTAGTCCTTGTACGAAATCTCCTAGGAATAGATTTTTATATTGACAGTAATTAATATTTCACCATATCCTTTCTTATGCGTGTGCTGATTATAGTATTTGTACTACATTGGTGATGAACACCTGTTCTGAAAATCATCATAATAGTTCACGGATGTAATATCAGTCACTATCTCTTTCTGAAACTTCACCTTTGTAAGTTTTCAATTGATTGCTATTGTGCAGATTCATATATCATAATTGAGTTAAGAGTCCCCAATGTGATTGGATAATACAAAAGGTTTTCCACGTCATGAACTTTGTTGTAAATGGAGGTAACACGGAGTCACGTTTCTTACTGTTTTGTATTGTTTTTGTTCTTATGAATATTTGGTAGTATTTTAAAAGGGTCAATATCTTTTCTTGGATAAATTGTTGAGTTGCAGAGAAGGTAAGCTCTTATCGACCAGAATGATACAAAGAATGGTGTTTATAACTGAAGAAATAATGAAGCAGCTGCAGACCTTTTAATCCAAATTCTTTATAATTTATGCTCGACATTTGTTTTGCCCAGTAAATATAGGAGACATTAGCATTAAATTTCTCGTTATCTTTTTTTTTTTGCAGGTTTTGAGCCACTCAAGAAGATTTTCCAGGTTTGCCTCTTCTTTCATCTTTCAACATTTTGGAAATTTATGGTTTCTCTTCGTTTGAATATTCCAGATTTTGTAGGAGTTAACCTGGTCCACTTGCCATATTTCTCATCCTAAATGTAAAATATAGAGAAGGTCCATGACAACTCAACATTGTTACCTGTTAAATGAGTTGTATGTCTTCTCTTTTTAGTACCTCTCATATGAGAAGAAAGATCACCTTGAGATAAGCATTAGCTATTCTAGGCTTTTTGTTTGCACCGGATTACACCTTACATCTCTTTTGTAAGCTTTTACTTTAAGATAAAAAAATAATACTAGCTTGATGAATGATATGGTATTGTAATGATATGGTATTTTCATTTGGAAATTAGGTAGTCTATTTACTAAGCTTGTGGTATTTTAGTTTACATTTCATTGTATATTGGCCTTTCAAAGAACCAGTAAAAATGAAGTTAATAAGATTTTTGGTTATAATAGGGGTAGTAGGATCATTTTGGATCGTGAATACATATTTGTGGCACCGCATATGTTAGATCACTTTTTAATGATACTGGATGAACACATTCATCCACTTGCTATTCCAATTGCCAATGAAAAAGTTGTGAGGTCGAAAGAGATCTAATTGCGCAGAGAACTTTATCAGAAATACCAAAGTGGTTGAGAACCTTAACTTCAGTAATGTCAAGGCTATGTTTTACTTAAGAACAATGCATATCGGCCCAAAAAAAGAACATTGTTTCCAGATGTTTAAGCAAGCAAAACTGATGGTTATTTGTAGTAATCTGAGGTGACAAGCATCAACTATTGTTTGTAGTATAGTTCTAAAATATTCATAATGTTAGATGTTTGAAAAAAAATTGCTCCCATTGGGCCCGTTGCGATGCACGGGCAAGCCCTGCTAGTATAATTTAGAAGTGGCAGTTTAGGTGTACGAACATTGCATTCTTTAGCTGTACAAAAGGCACTGTAAATGGTACTATATATTTGGGCCTACCTTATTGGCGAATTAGCACGTGGATTACACTTTTTGCTTTAGCAAGCCACATGGATTTCACTATTTCAGATACACTGTATTTCTATATTTTTCCATCTATTCACCCCTCTAATTCTCTCTCTTTCAATGTTCACCCCAACCTTCTTACTTATTCAACAGTTCAAGGTGAGTTTTTAAATTCCTCTGGGTTTTTTTTTTCAAAATTCTTTCATACATTTTGACTTTTTCTGATTTTACATTCTGTTTGCTACAATCTTCTAGCCTCTAATGTGTTTTAAGTCTGGTAAGTTTTCTCCCCTGTTCTTTCTTTCTTGGCCCGTGTTCTGACTTTCTCTTTTGAATTTCTTTGAAAATTATGTCCATTTTTTGTTCGATGTTGATTTTTCTATTGTTTTTGAATAATTTTTACTACATTTTGTACATGCATGTTTGGAATTTCATATTATTTTGATATGTATATTTGGAAAGAAATACTTAGGTGCATGTTTTTTTGTTTCTGATTTTGGGGGGTTTAAAGATAACGACGTTGTGGATGTCATACATCCTTCCTTTCTTGTGTCAGTTTGCTTAAAGGGGTATTTGCTTCATGTAGAGTAATTAGTGAAGACTCTCCTAACAAAATTTCACTGAAACAGAAAACTAGACCCGTTTAATTAGCTTGGATGGACCTCAATCAATTGTAGCAACAAAGGCATTTTGGTACCCTCTTCCGATTTTAGTTGACTACTAGAAATTACATGGGTGAATTTAATCGATTTTGATGATTTTGCAAGGAACTTTCATTAGTGAAAGTTGAAGGGAAGTGATTCTAAACAAAGACAGTTTACCCTTCCACTGGAAATCGGATACAATGTCTTTCCCTCAAACTTTAGGAAATGTTTGACATTTGAATCAGATATGATATCTGTCCTTTTTTTGTTGGTTCTTTTTGTTGTTTCTTTCAGCATGCATGGGAGATGGAACTTGGCTGCTTCTACTTATTATTATTTGTAAGTGTAGATTCATTTATTTTTTAACTAGGAGACAGTCTCTTAGGGAAGCTTTCCAAAATAAATATCCAATTACTGAAAAGACAAATGTCGACTTCTTCAGGCCAGACCAACACTATGTCAAGTTTTAAAGGGAATGATCGAAAAAATGGGTTATGCAGGAAGTTTGTTATTTGTTAGTACTATCTTACAAGTATATGAGCTCTCTTTTTTAGTTTAATCTGACAGTTAGATGCTGCATCAGGGTTAAAAATGTCTGCTTTATCAATAGAGTACATGAAGTTCAACAAACTTCCTTGTTTATTTAAAACTTCCTAACTTTATGTATGCTACTTATTTGCTCATTTTCACAGACGATACCAAGTTGCATGTGTCTGCTATTAATTTTATTACATAAGAGTATCATCTATGTTCTTTAATGACCAATTAGTCTTGGATGTTCAAGAGAAATCTCAGCAGATGATTGAAAACACCGGAGGTCAAAAGCAACTTTCTTTTCAAATTAAGGGTCTGTAGATTATTGTTACAGATGTCGTGGTTGTTAAGAACTGGTGAATATGATGAACAGAAGTAGATAGAACCTGCAGTAACCCGTTCCTTTGCTGCCAACTATACTTTTGGTGCTTTTATATAGTTCAGAAAAATTAGTTTGGTGATTATTATAGCTTCTTCTATTATAGTGGTCGTTACTGCAGGACAGCAACATCTATAAAAATTAATTCGAAAATAATTCGAAAATAGGATGGATTCTCATAATAAGAGTTGTGATGCGCGAATCAAGAATTTTCAGTGCTCTTCAAAATAGCTTAGTAGTTGACACGTGTTCCATTTGTGTCTTTTGCCTGGTTTTTCTCTTTTCTAAATGTTGCCTCTATGATTTTATTGTTCTCCGATATCGTCTTAGCACAACTCTTGGAAGAAATATGAGCATCATCCTCATGGCCTTCGGAAGCCTGTGTTGAAGATGTAAAGATAATTGTTGTATTTGACAAACTCATGGGCTTCAAAGAGAATCAGTTATAATTGAGCAATTTGTTGGCAAAAACATGCGCTCAAGTGCATCCATTGCTGCCTTTGATTCTTTTTTGATTATGCACAAATTTAGCCAGCATTGCCTCAAAGGACATAGTTCTCTTAGAGGTCTCAAAGTTTGGAGATCTGAGGGGGAATGCATACTGGTCGATGATTGAGTTATTATACCATTCTAAAAGAATATGGATACTCCGGTCCTGGAAGTACTTTTAACCGTGCCTATTATTTCCTTTACACTTGCTGGTGCATTGTAGATTCACTGTCTGATCTTCTCTTTGTTGGCCTTGGTACTTTTGATCTTTTTCCAGCATCAGCTTGTAATTAGCTAGGTATTTATGTTTGTAATGATAAAACTTCTAAAATTTGAATGTTGCGGTCATCTTTTGTGTTCAATTATGGAGAACTATAACTGAAAGATTCATTTAACAAAAAAATAAAAAAACTATGGTTGAAAGATGCTGACATGATGTTTATATGTTATTTGTGCAGGATTTGGTATGCCCATTGCCTCTTTCATACCCAGAAAGGAAAATAAGTACCACAAAACTGTGTACTAACAATCAAAACTTAATTGTTGCTTTTTTTCACTTATAACCTCTCACTGCACGTAGAGAATTTTGCTATATATACATCATAAATATTTTTACTATTCAATCA